TGTTATTGTAAGCAATATCATTGTACATCTAAGCGTTTACGGCAATTTGAAGAGCCGTTCAAATGTTGATCAAACATACAAACTGCGAATGATTAGCGTGTAACATAGCGCCCTGGCCGACAGACTCGCCCGTGTGCGTCTGAGTATGTCCGCCGATGGGGCGCAGTGATACGGAAATTAACTCCAGTCGTACCAGTAGGGCTGCTAAAATTATGGCTCACGCCAGTTGCGGATCCAGAGGGGGGCGAGGCATGCCCCCCCCCCAAAAAAAACGCATGAAAATGTATCTGGATTACGCATAGCATCGTCATCATGCCTCCTTCAAGGGCGGCGGTATGGAATTGTGCATGAGGGGGCGAGATTTGCTCACCCGACCTCGCGCCGAAAGCGCAACCTTACTAGGGGGTCCGGGGCACGCTCCCCTTAACAGTTATGATATCTAGATCCTCTGAAATGCTATTTCCTGCATTTTGAGGGACAAATTTTGCTGACACGAAGGGTTTCAGCTTGATTTTGGAGGGGCGACGCCTCAACATCTTTTTCGAGGGGCGACCGCCCCTCAGTCTGTCCACCCCCGTGCCAACGCCACTTTCCTTCCCCATAATGAAGCAATTTGAGACGTACTGACTACTGTACATGCTGTAACACAAAACGCGCATAAGAGCGGTTTTTGAACAGGTAGTCACGTCTATACTAATATAACAGGTGCAGTCAACGGAGCTGTTCGTGAAAAAATGTGTTCGCAAGGGATTTTCAGCGGGCAGGCAAAATAAAACATCTTCAGGGCATTAAAAATAGGGTTTTTCATAGGGGAATTCCAGTAGGAGAAAATTTTTATTCAGAGGGCAGGCAGTTCCATTTTTAGATTGAGCGGGAAAGGGCAAAATGCAGAATTTTCCGCGGGCATCAACAACCAAATTGCCAAAGGGGAGGAATGTTTAGACTGGCCAAAGGGGAGTAGTCCAATGGCGCAAACTGCAGGATAATATCCGCCCGAGGCAGACTGTGCCGTTCCATTTGTGGCACTTAGCACGTGATCAATTTAACTGAACGCCACCACCGATGGCAATCGTCGCAAACAATGCCTGTTTTTTGCAGTCCAGTGCACGTTAGTTTTTTGGAGAGGGCAATCTGATTAAATTAATCCTTCCTGGGTTTTCCTATATGCATACCCTTTTTGGCAAGTTTTTAGCACTGTTACTGGTGTCACGGTTCGTATATTGCGCTTATTGCCGGAGGGGTTATACGCAAGACGGTATGAACTGGGTGCGAGAGAGTAGATACAACTGCGCGTCCAGAGGACAGGCAAAACAAAAATGAGCAGGGAGAGGGCAATGTGGAACAAAAACTGAGTGGGGAGAGGGGGTGAGAGCAAAACCGAGTGGGGAGAAAGCAGCGGGGAACAAAAACAGTGGGAGGGCAATTTAATTTGGTTGAGAGGGAGGGGAGTTGCGAACAGATTGACCTCTCCCATCCAAACTAAATTAAGCCTTAATAATGTTAGGTTACTGTTGATCAAACATAAATACCAAACATTTTTGCAAATTTACTCGTTGACTGCACCTGATATAATATAATAATAATATAATAATAACACGTATGTGTTTAGGTTTATTAAAATAGTTATAGGTATTTGTGGTACCAATGTAATAAGACGCAACGCCAATATCTAAATTTATTTTCGAATCAGGCTTCCCGGCAAACCCGTCGTGAAATCTCCGGGTGAACTCTGTATCATACCTAACGTTCAAAATTGATAGGGGTTGTTTTTGATATTTAATGACTACTGAAATGCGTTATTTCTTTTAGCAAAAATGTCGTGTTTGACGTGTTTGAGACAATAAAATATTGTTATCTGAGATTCAAGCATGGGGCCCTATGCGCCAAATCGAATGCCCCCTCCCCGGCATAACACGCAGTGATTCCGTAATAATAATCACCAACGAACAACAACAATTTATTAACTCATAACAACCTACTGAAGGAGGTTAAAGGTTACAACAACAACAACAAAAATTACAGATAAAAATTAATCAAATTACAATGGCTAATAGTTTAAAAGACAACCAAGAACAGACTAAATTGAAGTTAGTAACGGAAATATATAATAAAATAAAATGAAACACAAACAAAAAACTATAAACTAAATATAAAAACAAGAACCCTGTCCCATTGAACACATAATAGGTATAAAAAAAAGTCAATGACTAAGTAGGTTCTGCTGTCTAATAACAAAGCTGTATTTCAGATATTGTGCCAGAGGAATTGTTAAGTTATTATTTGACATTATTTTTATGAATTTATGAGATTAGTAAAGTCAGGATTAATCTGTTCAGCTTCATCGTATAAAATGACCCTCTCTTTACTATATACTGGGCATATTATGAGGAAGTGATGTTCATCTTCAATATCATTTTTATTACACCGTAGTGTTTGTCTGTTGAGCCACATGGTAAAACGAACATAGAAACCGAAGGTATATAAATAAATCAGTGACTCAGGCTTCCGGTGTATTCAGAAAATACACGGAAACTCAGGGAAACTGGAGCAAAACTTTCGATATCACGTGATTTTATGCAAATTAAACTTATCTATCGGACGCGGACGACAGCAATGACTATGAGGCTGCCACTTATATTTGTCGTCGTTCTGAAAATTTAAGTTTCAGGTACGTTTATTTTATCTTGATGGCACTCAGGACCGAGTTGTGCGTATATGTTGTGTCATGTATTAGTGTTAAACGGCCCGTTAGGTCTGTAAACTGCGAAGAGCCGTGTACTTAATTTGGGTTCAAGTAAACTGTGCTTTCGATTTTATGTTCGGTACTTCCGCCTTGGAACTACGCAGTACGATTGATTTTTTGTGTTTTTAGTTCGATGATAGCATATATAAAGTCTTTTATTCAACATCATCAATAAAGAGGTGATGACAAAATCGAGTAACGGTACCTACTTCGCCCTCCAGGATAGCATTACCGCCGCAAAAAAATCGTAAAAAAGTAAACGTACTCTGTGTCTTTACCAGGGATTATGCTTATGAGTGATCAGTGTAACACTAGACAACTTCTAACAACAACCAGGATGTTCTCTTATGGACCCGCCTACTGCAATTATTACCGTCGGCTCGAAAGTAAAATGTCGGTATATCGTTCTGTCCGGGAACTCAGCTGGGTGTATAACACCACGGTTGAGGTGATTTGTTTTCAAACATATTTTTTTATTTGAATCTTGCAATGTATTGTAGCTTGATTGTAGCTATAAATGTGCCGTCGTCTCTTAGGCCACAGTTCCTGGACAACATTTTTTTAGGGACTGTTCTCATTTGAATTAAATCTTG